CAATCAGTGTTGCTATTAGTTTTTCTGGCTTTTGCCCAAACAAGGTTTCGCTCATGAGCAAATCTGGTAAATGAACATGTTTTGTCCATCTTTAAGTAATTACTAGAGGTGTTCAGTATTTATGTTCTCCACACCATGATGGACATCAGGTTCACAGCTTTAGATCTGTTTTCATCACGCTGTACAACATGCATTCTTTATTTCCTTAGAATGAACAAACACAAGACCTAAAGGGCTCATCCTTTTAGGTTTGGCTTCCTTTTTCCAGGATTTCAGAAGAGTCAGCTTCCTCCATGAACCGCATTAGTCACATGATGCCAGTGACTGTTGGAAACTCATCTTATGGCAGGCAGCAAACGTATATTTTCAAGTGCTTAAAGTATGTCAAAGTGGTGTAGTTCTCAATATGACAACGGTGGCTCAGATGGTAGACTGGCGTGTCTGCTAGTTGCACGGTTGGAGGTTCAATCCCAACCTTTTCTTGTCCATATGCCAAAGAGTCCATGCTGTTGCAGATGAAAAAAAAAAAGCTTTCAGTAATCATACTGCACTTTCTCCTGGAATTGCATGCTCTTCTCTATAATTTTGGGTGGTATGGTGGGGAAGCGGTTCACATTTGTGCCTCATGAGAAGGTTCTAGGTTTGAGCCTGATGGCTGTCTGGGCACTTCTCTGTGGAATTGAGCAAGCTGAGACCTAGAACATAGGAGATAGCAGTTAGTTGGTGAGTGTTTTTGGAGCTCGGCTTTGAGTTTGACTAGGACTTGTCAGGTAGCTGTCAGTCTTTGTTGGAGCAGAGCACTTCCTGGTTTCACTCTATAGTTACTTGGCTGAAAATCTGAAAGGGGTGGCATTTTCACTAAAAGCCTTTAAAAGAGAGAGTGAAGCTATCTCTAAACAGAGCAAGTTGAGATCTAGAACATAGGAGAAAAATGAAAATCTGAAAGGGGTGAGTTCAGCCATAGTACTTCCTGGTACTTAAACACAAGTTTTACTGCTCTCTCTATGTGTTGTACTGCCACAGTGTAAACACAGATTAAACAGCCAGCCAAACTCTTTTGAGAACTAGGGGAACGAGCAGCCATGCTCCTTTAATGACTACAGACCAGTTGCCTTGACATCTCACATCATGAAAGTCCTGGAGA